TTTTTTTCCCCCCCCCCCCGGGCCGCAGTTAGCTGTTTATGAGCATATTCAGTACTTGGGGAGAGCGCACTAGAGAAGATGCTAGGATTTGACATTTTTTCCTAATTGCTAACTTCATGGATTAGGTCTTTTTATTGGGAGGTCACCGATAACAATGCTAGTGGCATCCTCTCTGCTTGAGACGGTGATGATTGAAGATGCTGAAATATTAATTAACACGCTTTCCCTTCTGATCTAATATGAAGTTTTCACTGGGATGTTAATCTCTGATCCTTCCATACAAAACCAATTACATGAGAGGTTGTAAAATCAGAAATGGTGGATACATCGTAAGCTTCAAAATTACAGAAAAAAACGTGGTTTGCATTCCGAATCTGCATCCTATGGGCTCTCTAGAAGGAAAATGATCTCAGATGTTTTGAAGGAAAAACTAATCCTGTTTATAGATTGAAGGCTTTGTCTCCTCCAAATAACCTTTTCAGGTGTAATTTCCATTTTGTTGGTGGTTGAGAGTTGAGACTCCCTACAGTTATAACACGGTTGGCCTAACTTATTTTTGCTGCACTTGCTTAGTGCTAATTTGTGAGTTATACAAAGGTATCTTTCATAAAACTAAAAGAAAAATCACTTTATTAAGAACTCAACATTTTACGCAGTGATCACTAGATAACATTTGGTATTAATTCCAGAAAGTTAAAGGTAAACATAGCCTCTATGACTACTGCAAACATAGTTACATTATCTCTTGTTTGATTTTGGATCCAATTATTTGTTTTCTAGTCCTCTCTATTTAACTTTGATTTAGTCCTCTTCTTTTTTTTCTTGAACGTTGCACAGAAGTAAGCAAAATAGAAAGGGGCATTTCTGATAATAAACAATAGATGGCTTTGCACTGTCTTACCATTCTCCCAAAAAAAAAAAAAAAAAAAAAAAAAAATGGAAAGGATCTTGTATTTTGCGTGTTGAGTGTGTGATGTTATGAGTATTGCTCCAAGTCACTAGGAGGTCAAACATGATTGCCAGAAACCGTTTAATGAAGTCTACCTTTGTATGGATGTCATGATATTTTCCATGGATTTAAATATTCAACATAGCTTTTGACATGCTGTAAGCAAGTGAATATCACTTTTCTGTTTGTTGAATGAGCAAATGTAAGTTGCCACGTCTTTGGGTGTTTCTAAAACTGTACACTTGGAAAATCATTCTTTTGTGCTAAACTGATGATATATGCACAGGTTGAAGGAAGGATCATTAAGTCTCAGATCTGGGACACCGCTGGACAGGAGAGATATAGAGCCATTACAAGTGCTTACTATAGGGGTGCACTTGGAGCTCTTCTGGTATATGATGTGACAAAACCTATGTCCTTTGAAAATGTCAGCCGATGGTTAAAGGAACTGAGGGATCATGCAGACTCCAACATTGTGATTATGCTCATTGGAAACAAGACTGATCTGAAGCATCTGCGAGCAGTTCCTACAGAGGATGCTCAGGGCTACGCTGAAAGAGAAGGGCTTTCTTTCATTGAAACATCTGCTTTGGAGGCAACAAACGTAGAAAAAGCTTTCCAGATGAATCTTTCAGAAATCTATCGTATAATCAGTAAGAAGTCACTTTCTTCAGGAGAGGATCCAGCACCTGCTAACATTAAAGAAGGGAAGACTCTTGTTGTTGGAGCAGAGGAGATAAACACCAAGAAAGCATGTTGCTCTTCTTGATCACAATCGATTGTTTTTATCCTTATTCACAATCAATTGCTTTTATCCTTTTGTTTTTATCTATTTGTTATCATTATTCTAATTAAATTTTGAACGTATTTGTTTTATATTTTCTATCAATTGGTTTGATCCTTTTGTTATGACTAGCTTCTCCGCACGTGCGTTGCACGTGTATGCCGAGCCATATAGTATATGATTCTGTAAGATAATATTAAAATTTATTTTTGAGTAATTAATTATACATAAAATTATAAAGTGCAAGTTTACTAAGAATGATCAATGTGAATTATTGCGCATTATTTTGTTTGTTGAGATCAAGGTGATTGGATATTATCTTATGTATGAAGATGAACAATCAAAATTAATTAGATACATTTGATTTTTTGTCTTATTTTCATTTCACGAGGCATAAACATGTAGTAAAGTATTTTTAACCTAATACTTCCTTATAGATGATATTTTAAGTGTATGTTCTTTCATTCATTTTGGCTACTATATTATTATCAAGACTCTTGTTGATATTGATATTCCTCTTTAAAGTACAATGTAAAATTGATGACGTGAAAAATATGTTATGATAGATATAACACAATATTGGGGGATTATTTGACGTTTGTTTTGTTTATGTTCGTACAAAACATAAACATACAAAAAATTATTCTCAGGCGAAATAGAATGGATATATCGCTTATTTTCAGGAGGAAAAAGTTAAATTCTTGAGATAAACACATGCTTTAGAAGTAGATTGACCAAATATAATTTCTGCACATATATATTGGAAAAATGATTGTAAAAGTTACATGAGTATCTGCAAATAAGCCATTCGTAATATCGGCTTTCAACATTTCTTTGGAATTTTTTTATTACCTTACTTGATATTAGTGTGGTTCTTTATTTATGCTTTTATGGTATTACACATATATTTATTTTATGCTAACATGTGTCATCCAATTTTTTATGAAAAAGAAAGATAAATATTGACATGTATACCATATCAATTTACAATAAAAGTATGTGTAGTTGATTAAGCAAACAACAAGAAACCCGGGAGCAATTACGTCATGAAGAAAGCAATTAGAAAATGTGCACTAACTTTAAATTTGAGCGCATCAAATTTTTAAAGTCATGTGAGCTTCGCAAATCATGACTTCTAATGAAATGGCATTATCATAATTGAAATTTCGCTTTATGAGAGAAAAAAAATATACATTACAATGAGCTATGTAATAGTCATGATCCGGGTTGATATTGTATAGGTTAACTTAACCATAGACGGGTCGTATTGTAACTATAGTTAGTTGTTAATATTAATAGTTGACAATAATTAGTTGTTAATGAGGAATTCGTCGGTTATGTTAGGTATAATTGTAGATTGTACAGTACTCGTCATTTTTCAATATTCAGAAAATGAGATTCATTCTCCCATCTCTCGCTTCTCTCTCTCTGCTCTGTTTTCTCTCTTTGTAAGAGGAATTTTCTCTTCACTCAGATCCACAAAATTGATATGATATCCGAGCTTGTAGACGATTGAATCTAGAGGTTTTCACTGAGAATTGTTGAAAACGAGAGATTCGTCGTTCATTTCTCAAATTTTCAGCCGGAATTATCAATTGCTTGCCGAAACCCTAAATAGTCATGGCCGGAGACGAAGTTACAAATCAAACAGAGGAAGTCACAAATCAATCGACAATTGTGATAGATCACAACCATCCGCTATATTTACATCCATCGGATACACCAGGAGCATTGTCACTTGGTTTTCAGCTGCAATGAATGGAAAACTACACGATCTAGAGCCAAGCTATGGAAGTTTCGTTGCTAACGCGGAACAAGCTAGGGTTTATAGATGGTTCAATAACGCGTGACACCTATGGAGACAATTCTGTAAATCTATGGGATCGCTGCAATGCTATTGTGAAATCGTGGACAATGCACAGTGTGAGTCGCGATTTGCTGAGTGGAGTACTATTCCGGTCAAGTGCACATGCAATTTGGTCGGATCTTAGGGAGCGCTTTGATAAGGTCAATGCATCACGAATGTATTACCTACACAGAGAGATTTTTACATTAACACAAGGTACATCCTCTGTTTCGGTTTACTACTCGAAATTGAAGGATTTGTGGGATGAATATGACTCAATTATGCCTCCTCCTGTTTGTTGTGATAAGTTGAAGAAGTTCATTGAACGACGGGAGTATCAACGTTTATGGCAATTCTTAATGGGATTAAATGATGGCTATAGTCAAGCTCATAGCCAAATTATAATGAAATCCAAAATCCCTATGGTTAATCAAGCTTATGCGATCCTTCAGGATGAGAGTCAAAAATTAGTAGCAGGTGGTAGTTATAGTGCTGAGTCCATTGATCCTACAGTTCTATTCAGTTCTAAACTAGGTCAAAAGCAAAGGAGAAATTTCAATGCTGAATGTGACTTCTGCCATTTGAAAGGACATACTAAGGAAGAATGTTATAAGTTGATGAAATGTGATTACTGCAATAAGAAGGAACATTTGAGGGCCAATTGCTATAAACTGATACAGATTTTAAGCCTCAGAAAAGAGCAAATATGGTTGGAAGTTCAAAAAATCAACCAATCTCACCTTCATCAGTCATGATGACACAATAACACCATTTGGCACCTGTGCAGGGTTTCACTCCTGAACAACACAATCACCAGGGGCAACAAAGCTTAGGGCCTATGCAAATGTTTACTCCTGAGCAATATAGTCAGATTTTAAGCCTACTAAACAAAGCATCAATCTCTGAATCATCTGCCAGTGCACACACGGCAGGTAATATTTCTCATGAACCAAACACTAATGAGAAATGGATAGTAGACACTGGAGCTACAAACCATATGGTTGGTAATGAACAGTTTTTACATGATAAATTGTTAGTAGGTAATGCAGGAAATGTGCAGCTGCCTACTGGAGAGTCTAAGGTGTCACATGTTGGTAGTTGTCAATTAGATGGAGGTGATACTATTAACAATGTCTTGTGTGTACCAGCTTTCAAGTTTAATCTTTTGTCTGTGTCTTAATTGACAAAAGCTTTGAACTGTTGTGTTGCATTCTTTCCAAATTTTGCATATTTCAGGATTTCTTCACTGGAAGGGTGAAAGAGATTGGTAAAGAGGAAGAATGAATATATGTGTTGCGCTCACAAAGGAGAAACAAGAATACAACTAGATCATTAGTGATGGTTGCACACAGGAATGAAGCTGAGCTGTGGCACAAGAGGATGGGACATGTTCCAATTCAAGTTCTCAAGAAAATTCCTAGTCTTAGTAGCAGTAGTAAAGCAAAAATAAGCCCATGTGGCATATGTTCTTTAACCACCAAGCTAGGACTCCTTTTCCAGTTAGTAATAACAAAGCAGACAATGTCTTTGATTTGATACATATGGATGTTTGGGGACCTTATAAAGTTCCTACATATAATGGAAAGAGATATTTCCTCACAATGGTTGATGATCATTCTAGATGGATTTGGATCTTCTTATTACATCTTAAGTCTGATGTCATTACAGTCCTCAAGAATTTTATTGTTATGGTGAAAACTCAGTTAGGTAGAGTGATCATGTGTTTTAGATCAAACAATGGATCTGAATTTTTTAATCATAATTGTGATATTGTGTTTCAAATGCATGGGATTATACATCAAAGCTCATGTCCACACACTCCTCAACAAAATGGTGTGGTGGAAAGGAGACATACACATGTTCTAGAAACTGCAAGGGCCATCAGATTTCAAGGGCACTTGCCAGTGAGGTTTTGGGGTGATTGTGTGGATGCAACTGTGTACATAATAAATAGGATTCCCTCTACAATACTAGGAAACAATCACCTTTTGAGTTGCGTTATGGAAGACAACCTTCATTATCACATATGAGGGGACAAATTTGCACCCAAGTCCGTAAAGTCAGTGTTTCTGGGATATGCAAGCACACAAAAGGGATATAGGCTTTATAAAAATTGAACAAGACACTCTTTGTCAGTAGAGATGTGATATTTTATGAAGATGTATATCCATTTCAAGGTCTTGCTCAAAATTCTTCTTTCTCTATAGATGAGTTTCAGAGGCATGATCTTCCTCTTGATCAGCCTCCTATTGTTTTACCTTCTAGTGCTAGAGACAGAGACAATCTGGTTTCATCTACACCTCCTACAACTGCAGAATCCGTTCCTAGAAGCATTAATTCATCATTAGAAGTCATCCTCTGCCACATATAGAGGAAGCAACTGTTGTACAGCATGAAGAACATACTGATAATACTGGGGATTTGAGAAGATTAGGGAGAACTACCAAGCCTCCCATTTGGCTTAAGAATTATGTTGGGCCAATACAGAAGTCCAACTCTTCTAATGCGACTCATTGCCAATATCCTATTGGTGATTTTATTTAGTACACAGAGTTGGCTGCTTCATATCAAGCTTACATCACTCAATTGTCTTCTGAAGTTGAACCAAGTTCTTATCATGAGGCAGCTAAGGATGTGATGTGGAGTGAATTGAAGCCATGAAAGCAGAGATCCAAGCATTGGAGGATAACAAAAGATGGGGGGTAGTGTCATTGCCTCCAAACAAAAGTGCAATTGGATGTAAATGGGTGTACAATATCAAGTATACATCTAGTTGGGAAGTTGAGAGGTATAAGGCTAGATTAGTAGCTAAAGGGTATAGTCAAAAGGAGGGACTGAATTATCAAGAAACTTTTTCACCTATTGTGAAAATGGTTATTATTAGGTCTGTTGTATCCATAGCAGCTACCAGAGGTTGGACCTATATCAAATGGATGTTTACAATGCTTTCTTGCAAGGAGATTTGGAAGAATAGGTATACATGGCTCTACCTCAAGGTTTATCTCCTGGACAAGGGAAGACACAGGTGTGTAGATTACTCAAGTCACTCTATGGGTTCAAGGCAATGGAACATTAAACTCACCACAGCACTTCTTAATTCAGGATTCAAGCAAAGTCACTTTGACTATTCTTTGTTTACTAAGAGACAAGACTCTCATATTGTAATTGTTTTGGTCTATGTTGATTACCTTTTGATCACTGGGGATGATGCGGACCTTATTTTAGATACTAAATAAAGTTTGCAACAAAATTTTAAAATCAAAGACCTTGAGGAGTTGAGGTACTTTCTGGGAATTGAATTTGCTAGAAACAAAGAAGGGATCCTGTTACACCAAAGAAAATATGCACCTGAGCTCATCTCAGATGTTGGTCTGGCAGGATCTAAACCAGTTCATGCTCCTGTTGAGCTAAATCAGAAGCTCACCACAGTGACTTATGATGATCATTTAGGTCTTAAGGATGACAGTCTGCTTGAAGATCCTGGTGCCTATCAAACACTGATAGGCAGACTTCTTTATTTGACAATTACAAGGCCTGGCATTTCCTTTGTTGTGCAGTCTTTAAGTCAGTTCATGCAAGCCCCCAAACACTCTCACATGAAAGTTGCTCTCAGGATAGTTAGATACATCAAGCAGAGTCCAGGCCTTAGGATTCTTATGTCAGCTGCAACATCTACACAATTGAAGGCTTATTGTGATGCTGATTGGGCAGCATGTCCTAATACAAGGAAGTCAATCACTGTCTACTCAGTGCAATTTGGTAATTCCCTCATTTCATGGAAGTCCAAGAAGCAGTGTCCCATTTCCAGAAGTTCTGTTGAGGCAGAGTATCGAAGTTTGGCTTCCACAGTAGCTGAGATTGTTGGGCTCGTTGGTCTATTTGCTGAGTTGGGTGTCACTCTCACATTACCAGTTCCCCTTCATTGTGACAGTAAATCAGCAATACAAATACAAATTGCTGCTAATCCTGTGTTCCATGAACAAACAAAGCACATTGACATTGACTGCTACTTTCGTGAGAAGGTTCATCTGGGCTTAGTTCAAACAGTCTACTTGAAGTCTGTTGATCAACCTGCTGATATCTTGACCAAAGGCTTGAGTAGCATTCAACACAATCACTTATTATCCAAGCTAGGACTCAAGAACATCTTCATTAGTCCTAGCTTGGGAGGGGGGGGGGGAGGGGGGGGAGTAATGAGCTATGTAATAGTCATGATCCAGATTGATATTGTATAGGTTAACTTAACCATAGATAGGTCATATTGTAACTATAGTTAGTTGTTAATATTAGTAGTTGACCATAGTTAGTTGTTAATGAGGGATTAGTCGGTTATGTTAGGTATAACTATAGATTGTACAGTACTCGTCATTTTTTAGTATTCAGAAAATGAGATTCATTCTCCCATCTCTCGCTTCTCTCTCTCTCTCTCTCTGCTCTGTTTTCTCCCTTTGTAAGAGGAATTTTCTCTTCACTCAGATCCACAAAATTGACACATTACCAATTTCGAATATCTATTGCGTCTTGAATCGTTGGATTGATTAGTACACCACTGACATGGATAGTCGATATTCTAAAATTTTCTAGATAAAAAAGAAATAAAGAAATAGATTTACTATAATTTCAATCTACAAAATATATATATAAGGTGGCTGCCATAATACCTTTGTGAATTGAGGCTCGAACGTCATAAAAGTCAAGATTTGGTTCTTCATCCTTCCCTGTTTCAAGAATTTGACTTGTATAATAACATTTGTATGATTATACCTGTATAAATTTTATAAAAACTTGTGTAATTTTAACTTGTCTTCATCTTCATTTGTAATTATGATCTCTCTCCACGTGCTCCATCCTTTTCTAATAAGTGGTTTCACTCTTACTAACGTGCAAACTATATCTGAAAATATGAAGTTAAATTGGTGATAAGCTAAGTATCATGTAATTATGTATGAAAACATTTCATAAATTCCTTTCATGGCTGTGATTTGATTATTGTAAATGCAGACGACTGTTGTCATTCTACCGTATATTGCTTTCTTTTGGTTACTGAGTATGATTGGTTCATCAGTTCTTTCTAATTGTTGACATATAGTTGTCGTTCTTTGATCATTCAATTACAGCATGACATTCTTTTGTTGCTCTGTGTAAGCGATATTTTCATTTAGCTGGCTGATACTTCGATATCAATGACAAAATATTTGTTCTTACATGCATGTTACCAATTCCGCAACAAAATTCATTTGGATAAGATTCATGAATCACACATAATTTACAACTTCAAAAGTTGTCTCTGTTTCCGAAGCATGACTCTTCAAAGAAACTAGTGATGATTTTATCCGATCCTCGTATCCATTCCACAATGATACAAAATAAATTAGTGCTGCTATTCGTTATGTCAAATGGCAAAATACATTTAATTAGGAAGAAAAAATTGAAGACAAGAAAATGCTGAAGAAAGTAAGAGAATGGCTTTTACACTGTTACTATGGTTAATTAGTATTATTGGGAAACTTACACAAATGTCCCAAATAAATCTCAACTTACCAACATCTAGTCATTAGTCATAGACTTACCAAAACTAGCCAACAAAAATTGAAAAACCAAATAATAGGGTTTTCTCTCTCAAAGAATCACATGCAAAAATCACCTTCCATATTTTTAAGCGTGATTAGCAACATTAGATACAACACGGAAAGGAAATTTCATGGACGGGGTAGCAAATAAGGTGATGAAATACAAAAATCTATACAATATTCCAAAAATCTAAACAAAAAAGGAACTTTTTCAATGGGTATAGTTGAAATTCATTGAAAATATATAGATAAGTCAATATACAAAATTTGAGGAAGATTGGAGGTGATTTGGACTAGTTTTGTATCAAAATTCGTAATTAAATCGAGTTCAAAAAAGTCTTCTGCGACACATGTATCAAACATGTATCACGCATGTATCACACACACAGGTATACATGGATATACATGTGATACACAATTGATACAAATATGATACATATGTGATACACAAATGATACACAGTGTGATACACATCATTTTTTTTCATGTTCAGCTTTTACTTCGAATTTTCAATTCAAACCACCTCAAAACTTCACCAAATCACCCCAAAACTGAGATTCAAGCTCCTTAAGTTGTGCCCAATCTATTCTAATAACACCCACTCAAAACAAAATAAAAATTTGATATTTTTTGCTACAAATAGCTAATTGGCCAATTTGGCTAATATTAGTAATATTTTATCAATTAGCCAATTTTTGTAATGAGCTACTTATAAATGAGCATAGTTGGTAAATTCCCTAAAAATAAAAATAAAGAAGTAATACAGGAAAATGAGAATATCCTGGAGGTAAGCCCAATCAATTATCATATAGGCCTATTCGCAGACTGCCCTCGTATCATAGTCGCAATCTCCGAGCCTCATTTTTGGTGCTGCCTCAAACGTGATCGACCCAACAGAACAACAGAGACATTTTAGCAAACACTTAGAGTGCGAGAAGAAAATGAGCGGAACAGTGAAGAAGATCGCCGACGTGACATTCAAGGCCGGCAAGACTATTGATTGGGAAGGAATGGCGAAGCTTCTGGTCACCGATGAAGCTCGCAAGGAGTTCGCTAATCTCCGTCGCGCCTTCGATGATGTCAACTCTCAACTTCAGACCAAATTCAGCCAGGTTCTGTCTCCTCTTTCTCTATATGTTCATTTCCCCCAATATTTTTTACTTTTTTAATAGTTTAAGGATTTTTTTTCGAAATTTTAAAATAATTTTTTGTTTATCTTTATGTGGATCTAGGTTTTGATTGTTGTTTTTTCCATTCTATGGTTTGTCATTTGTGGATCTATTATTAGGTAGCTTACCAAGGAATCATTAATCGTTTTGGTATGGTAACTTGGTTGCCTGAAGCAAGAGGTGTTTCATGTTTGTGAGTATTGAAGTAAATTTTTTTTTTTTGTGTGTGTGTGTGAGAGACCATAACTCACTAATACATTAGTTCATAGAACAATTCAAGTGGCAAAACCATTCTCTCTTTTTTTTTGGGGGGGTGGGGGGGGGGGTGGGGGTGGGGGAGACATGATGTCTTTGGGCTTCCCAGTGTCGTATATTCGGCAGAACTCTTAACTGCTATATTATCTAGAAAGGCAGAAGAGCCATTACTAGGTTATATTTGTATTGCTCCTGAGCACTTGTTATTCCATTATTTCTGCAATCGGAGGAATGAAATCTGTAACTGAAAGAACTGTGGATGATTCTTCTGTTTCCTCGTAAAGGAAGACATGCTGCATAATATGGAAACCCATACAAAAATTTCTAAATTGCTGCAGTTAACCCAAAGAGACATACTAAAGTCAAGAGGATAGAAAATGCTACGTCCAGCATTCATATCTTGGTCCTTGAGGAACCTGCTTTGTTGGGTGACTATGCAAAACTCCAGATCATTCTCTTGAAACTCATCCTCTTCATTGTAAATTATCCGCTTCTCCCAGAATGACCTGAGGTCCTGAACCAATAGCAATAGAGATTCCACTGCTCCTTAAGTGAGCACAATGATTTTGTCAAAAGCTTTTGACCAAATCATTTTGTATATGCTGTCGTTCTTGCCGTACTTTTGCGGACTTGTGGTATAGAGCAGCACCCCGTTGTTTCCAAGTTTCGGGTGCTCATTGACTCATTTACTTATTGTTAAAAAAGAGAACAATGAGTTTGTTTTCCATTTTATAGAATTCTTCAGTTAATGATAGCTATCAAAATTTTGATATGGGAAGAGTTATTGTATAAATGTCGAGGTTGGTAGGCTGCCTTGACAAAAGAAAAAGTTATTGCATAAATGTAATTTGTACGGATCTTTGTGAAGTGGCTTTTTAGCCTTTGTCTCTGTTGAGTTTGGTTAACTGTTTTTTGGTTTGACCAAATGGCACTTGTGAATTTCAAAACAACTGGAGAAGTTCTCTAACCAAGGATTATATGTGGAGTAGTGTAGTGTTCGATTAATCACTGGTTTTATGAGGTTTTTTCAAAATAGATATGGTTTCTCTGTTTGGACAATACACTTAGAGGCTCTAACACAACACTGTTCTTTGCTTCTATGCCAAGCAGGAACCTGAACCTATTAACTGGGAGTATTACAGAAAAGGAATTGGTTCTCGCTTGGTAGATATGTACAAAGAGGCCTACGAGAGTATGTGCAACTTCAGATTCTCGTTTTCTCCGTCAAAACTTTTTCATATTAATTTTGTAATGATTAATCTTTTTCTTGCTTTATTATAATGCTCTTGTTGTACCGTTACTGTTACATCTCTCGTTTTGTTTTTGAGAATTGGGCCTTTCAATACAATCAAATAGAAAGCCCCAAGGGCGACATGTTCTAGGAGCCCAAACTATGTGATTGAATAAATCATCCTGTGGGTCAAGGGCTCCTTCTCCCTCCCTGCCTTCAAACGCGAGGGGGGGGGGGGGGGACTAAATGAGAGGATCCTATCTGTACAGATTTCTATTCCTGTAGCGACTTGATGAAATTTAACATGCTGTTTTCAATTTCATCCTTTAGATCCTGTATATTGCACCAAAGCCAATAGCCAAAGACATTTTAAGTTCTAGCATCTGTACGGAAACAGCTTTCCCTTCGAAACAAATGGAGTTTCTTTCAGCCCACAAAACCCAAAGATACAACTTGGCACAGTAATCTACAGACTTCTTGCTGATTTCGTGATCCCACAACTGTCCCGAACAGTCAAGATGTCTTTCATAGTGAAACACATGCCAAAAGACAAGTTCAAAGGATTTAAAAACAAATTCCATAACTGCCTTGCCACTGGAGAGTGCAAAAAAAGAGGACTGCTGAGCTCTTCTTCCTTGTTGCACAAGTAGCATCTACTGCAGATGTTCATTCCCCTTCTTTGTTAATTGCCTTGATTCAATCAACCATCCTAGCAGCCACATAAAGCAGACTACCTTTTGAGGAGCTTTAGTTTTCCATAACATCTTCCAAGGCAAAAGGTGCTTTAGTTTTCCATAACATCTTCCAAGGCCAATTAGGAGTACTATCCAGCTCCTTGTTTTAACTCATTGTAGCATGCGTACTCTAAAAACACCATTTTGTTGCCTCAGCCAGATTAGTTGGTCAGGTTCATCAGTATTTAGAGTGATCTTGTCCAGATTTTGTGGCAAGACAGCCAATCTTGGAACTTCCCAGTCAAGGCATAGTCTTCTCAAATTAACACATTACAATTCCAACATTGTGGTACAAGGCATTCTGTATTAGTGGAAAAACTGTATCATTATATGCCGACCTAAGTGGAGTATGGCTAATCCATGTGTCCTGTCAGAATCTTGTCCTCCGATCATCGACCAGACGACCACTTAAATTCTAGTTTTAGTTTCAAGCAAAGCCTGCAAAGGCCGTAAGCTGCAAATGTGTTTCCAAAGGCCCAAGCCATGTACAGGAGTTGTCCTGGATTGTAGAACTACTATCTATTGTAGAATTGTCCGCCATAAATGATAAAACTACTAAACTACTGAGCAGTGTAGTTGTCCTGGGTTGTAAGATTGTCCCGGTGCAGGATTTATTGATGATAGTTCTCTATGGAAGTCAGATGTACAAGTAAATGGTTCTATTCGAATTGGTCTGTAGCTTTCTTTAAGCTTTTAGTGGCTTAAATCATGAGTTTCATTTTCTTTAGTGGCTTAATTCTTGAGTTTCAAGTGCCTGAGTAGTTCATCAGTTGACGCATCTACTGCGATATGCACATTGGATGAACAATTTCCTTTTTGAGAAAGACAATGGATGAACAATTTGTACTGACCTATTTCAGTTAAAAACATCTAATACTTTTAACTCTCATATATTCTGAATGCTTTCCTTAAGATTACTTATTGAACAATGTATGTACTTAAGCTGACCACAATTAAGAACTGAAAAAGATGTACAAAATGGATCTAACGCCCAATTTTGGGTCACAGAGAGACTGGTGGTGTTAATAACACTGGTCTCGTTGTAAATGAGAAATCCTTTCTTCAAACAACAAGAAAAACCACGAGAGAGCTTTTTCATCTTGGAAAAACTGGTTCTTAGATTATTTGAAGAAATGGACAAGTTACAGCTTGTTCAACCAATTTAGCTGCACAACTTCGAATCAAGCTAATGCTATGCAATGTAAAACTTCTTACTTTGGATCTACTTTTCAGAAAGGGACATTCGTTTTAGATCTGGCATTTGACCAGTTTTGGGAACAGATTTTTACGCCCATTTATTTTCTCTTTGTTCTTTCCATCTCCTCTTTAAGTCACATGTATTCGTAGTCCTACAGTGTCTTGTCAGGGAATTTTAAGCTGGAAGAAATGTTCATTGACTTGTATGTGTAATACATCTGTGCCCCGGCCTATTAAATGCCTTAAATTTGCCCCTAATCCAGACTGGAGTGGGGAACGTCCAGTTCAATTTGCATTCTATGATATCTGAAAGATTACTCCTATTTTCCTGCATACTTTGAATCCACCATGGATATTAACATTACCTTCTTCACTCACCTAGCTTATTATGATTTAACAAAATTATATATTGACTTAAAATTTGCTAGCTCAACTCAAAACATTTTCAATGCACCTCTAATACTGTTAGATTTGTTGCTCAAGTTCCTTCTAAGTATTCACTGCAAAGCGGCAAAGCCAAAAAGGTTTAACAGTTGCACCATCTTTGTATAATACTGTTCGTCTCATAGTTCAGATGAAATTTCATCTTGAAGTCTAGGCAATCTAGTATTTCATCTATACGAGGCTCTGTTACTATTGGACTAATGGAGCTTATAACCATATTCCAAACTCCAATGATATTTGATGGCTTGTCTTAATTGTGTCCGACTTTCTGAGTTGTTCTCTTTGGACTAAAGAATACCTTTTGTTCTTGTACTAAGTTTCTGTAGTTTTTGAACAATGTATCTTGCAGGCATTGAGATCCCCAAGTTTGTGGATACAGTGACTCCTCAATATAAACCCAAATTTGATGCCTTGGTAAGAGAAAAATAATTCTCTCGATCCTTACCTTTTTTTTATCTTTCACTAACTACTCCCTTTGGTCTATTTTAGTTGTCATGGTTACTTAAAATAACTAGTCCAAAACACTTGTCATTTTAGAAAATCAAGATGTAATTAATTATTTTTTCTCCTTTCTGTCCTTAGTATTAGTTGTTCTTGATACTAAAATACATTTATTATATAACATAGAAAACCTAAATTTGAAGAGTGAATAAGGGAATAATATTAAAAAAAAACTTCTTATTACTTTTTCCGTTTCAATTTATGTGAACGTATTTCCTTTTTAGTCCGTGCCAAAAAGAATGACCCCTTTCTATATTTGAAAACAATTTACTTTTATGCAATGATTTATAGCCACACAAAATATTTGTGCCTCATATTACACCACAAGTTTAAAATTTTTCTTTTTTTTCTTAAGCTCCGTGCCTAGTCAAATATGTTCAAATAAATTGAAATGGAGGAGTATTAGTTTCTTAATAAACGTGTAAAAGAGAAACATGATAACTAAAATGGACCGGAGGGAGTATTTGTTATTGGTATTATCATACTACTACATTATTGGTTGAAAATTAACATAGGGAAATTATCAATTGCTCAAATCCTACAAACTCCTCTTTTGTATTGATCTGAATCCTTGTAAATCATAGCTATTGCCTTAGAAAGGGATCCACCTTTTGGCATAAAAGTAAGTCTAGGTGTCGAGCAAATTGAAAATAATCAAAATTACATGATGTACATATTTCAATTGAATCATTTTATCAAGTCATTTGCCCTAGCAAATTAATTCCAGATATTCTCTTTTGTTGCCAACAGATTGATAGAATACAATTACAATATGCACGGCTTGAAGCCAAATTGAGTGATTTGATGAAAATGCCAAATCACCCCCTGAACCTACCTTTTTCTGCAGAAGTTTGATGCTAAGTTTAACACTAGGATGATATGGTTAAACTATTAACTTGTTCTTGATTGTTCTTTTCTATTGCAATAAATTGTAGTTGGTGGAGCTGAAAGAAGCCGAGCAGAGATCTCTGAAGGAATCTGAAAGATTAGAAAAAGAAATTGCAGACGTGCAAGAGTTGAAGGTGATGCAAAGTTGCCCCCTAATTTTCTTTTATCTTCATGTATTCATATCAGTTACCCCTCTATCTAACTCAGTGTATGCATGCCATTGTGCATTTCTATGATTTTGTTTTGATGAACAGAAAAAACTTAGTACCATGACAGCTGAAGAATACTTCGAGAAGCATCCTGAGCTGAAGAAGAAGTTTGATGATGAAATTCGAAATGATTACTGGGGCTACTAGGCGGCTTCACATAGCAGTTGTTGGGTCAATTTTAGGATGGATTATCCAAGATCATCCCTGGTTAGGAATAAAAGAAAAAGAACTACATTTTTGTTTCATTTTCTGGGTCCTTTTGTGAAATGCTAACTGCAGTGAATCCCATCACTTGGACATCCTAATGTAGTCCTGCATTGGAGTCGAAAGATGTTCGAATGGAAAAATAGATCAAAACCATGAATGAAGCAAATCGTGATCTCTTTTTTGCAATTTGACTAGGCTTTTTAGACGTTCAATGATTAAATCAGTAGACTTTCAACATGCTACCTTAACATCAACATACCCAGTGTATTCCCACAAGTGTGTTTGGGGAGGGTAGTATGTACACAGACCATGCCTTTACCTTTTGAAGATAGAGAGGTTGTATCTGTCTTTCTGGTTGACTTTCGGCTCAATCAAAGCTAAATCACAGCAGATATGACAAATAGAAAAAAGATATAATCGAAGCAAAGGAAACATCAGGTAATAATAGTGATCTAAAAATAGGGAACAAGAGGATAACACTAGTACTATAGCTATGAAAAGACTAGTACTATAGCTATGAAAAGGAAGTATAGGTTTGGAAAAGAAATAGGCTCGACTAGTTACTAGCTTACTATCCTAATCTTCGATCTCCACTCTCTTAATAAAGGTCATGTCCTCGATAAGCTGAAGATGTTCATGTCCTTCCTGATCACCTCTCCCAAAAACTTTTTCGGTCCACCTTTACCTCTCCTAGGACCCACCATTGCCAACCTCTCACACCTCATTGGGGCATCTGCACCTCTCCTCTTCACGTCCCCTACCATCTTAGTCTTGCTTCCCGCAACTTGTACACCACACATGCCACTCGCACCTTGTCCGAAATATCTTCATTCCTAATTCTATCTCTCCTAATATGCCTACACATCCATCTCACCATCCTCATTCCCATTCAATATGCCACCTTGTTTATTAGAAAATAATTTTCAATTTCATGTGCGAATTTTTATCATTTATCAGCTGATGCATAAGAGTTGCGGATTTGAATAGTGGAATATTGAAGTATCCTTGCCGATTGACTTTGGCCGAAAGAGAATCTCGAAAGATTAATGTGCAAGTAGGATAGTAAATGAGTTGAAGGACCCGTTTGACCATGAGTTTTGCCAAAATAAATTTGGGATTTATTTTCAAAACTCATGTTTGGCCATAAATTTTGCTCACATTTTGGCAAAATCCCAAATCCTAAACCCCAAATCCCAAAATCACCCCAATTGCTGATTTTGGGCCAAAATCCCAAAACATGGGAATTATATACATGTTTTTCCAAAATGAAGTTGGGAAATATGTTTTGCAAACGTATGTCCAAACACATTTTCATCTTCAAACCAAACTTTACTCAAATTAGATTTTTCAAAATAAATTTGGGATCTATGGCCAAACGCTAGCGAAGTCACTTGAATGAAATAGATGTTAAGTACATCTTATATTCGGGGGTCAACTCATATTCTCATAGAAGAAGAGTGCAAATTTTCATTTGCTAACCAAATTCTCACGGAGGTTCAAATTTTGGTGTCGCAGCTCCAAATCCACGTGACTGATATTTGGATCCGAGCAAACCGAACCCATATAAGAATCCCTACTTAGATGTTCCTAACATGCATGCAGAAATCTTTTCAAATACGACCATTTCAATTATGAAATTCATGCATGAGAATGAACCATTTAAAAGAACTCATTTTCATTACAAAGGAATATACGTTAAAAGTAAAAGATGTTTCATTTATGCATCTTATATGAGTTACTATAGTTTTACAGCACAAAAGAATAATTGATGTCTGTGGAACCTTTATGACAGGAAATGAAAACTAGGCCCGTGATTTAAAAGAACAGAACTATCCAGACTTATTCAACTGAGAGACGTGAAGCTGCCCTAATTGCGTATGGATTTGGAAAAGACAACCATTAATAAGCTGTAGCGATTCCCGAAAGGGAATTGCCATGAAAAGAGCTAGGAAAAACAATAAAGAAGAAGAAAGGAAAATACAGAGAAAAAAGATAGGTTTTCATTCAACATATGTTCTACGATGAGTCTAACAAATAAAAGCGTGAACTACTGATAATATGCGAGATTTACATATAATCGAATATATCTTACCCTACTTTGATGTGTTTTTCGGTGTTTTGAAGGTTGAAAGAAGACCAATTGAGCTTAATTGTTGAAGGTTGTTACGTAGGAAGCCAAGAGTAAAGATTTGAGGTGATTTGAGCATTAATGAAGCTAAAAGGCAATTTTTGAAGAAAAGGAAAATAGGACCCAGGTAGTGAAGTAACTTCAAAAAGCACAAGAAAAGCACTGGAAAATCTGGAAAACTCAACTAGACCCTGTGCGAAGCACAACTATAGCACAAGGGCAAATTTGCCTGCATTTTATCTTGAGGGACAACTTAGTCATTTGGCTTAGGGACGTGATATAAAAGCTTCTAACCCTTATTTCAGCCGCATTCTTGGCCTGAGAAGGCAAGGAACACCATTGTTGAAGTAAAATTGAGCCCGGAAGATTCTGAAGTCCATTCCACAAGACGAATCGAAGAGTTATTCTCTACCTTTCTATCTTTATTTCTGTGGATATTGGTCTGACAATGATTTATGTATATTTGAGTAATAGTATGAGTAGCTAAACCTTTCTTCTAGGGTTTTGATGGAATCAATTATTGGGTGAATTATTGACCATGCACATCTATAATTAGCCGTTTTTATAATCTATTTGTTCAACTACGTTTTGTTTGTTGTTAATTGAATGACCATCAATTAGCTGTGCATATTTATCATGTGTTGCTTGAAAAAAAATACCTGATTAGGTTGTTGTGGAACAGTATCACTTCCGAGTAAGTTAAGCGATTAAATACTTGGATTTAAAAGTGGGATTAGAGATAGCGAAGCTTTGGCACGATCTTTGTGAGTCGCTTGAATTGCTAGCTAGGGTTTGTACAAGAGAATAATTCTAGAAAATTACTGCCTTTGGTCGAGAGATAATTGTGGTAACAGGAGAACTCACGATCAATGAAGAACAAATCGGCGTGATTATATTGAAGACGTTAAGCATTCATCCTGATAATTGAGGAAATCATAATCCTAGGTTTTTTTTTTCTTCAATTCACATATTTCTCTTTAGTGATAATCTTATTACTTTAGTATATTTTTTAGTTAAGTAGTTTAAAACAAAAATCTTAATCTTTATCACTCGAAAATTGTTTAAACTTTTTTTCTTAGTGATATTAAATAGCTATAGCTAAGCATTAGTTTTCTGTGGGATTCGACCCTGGACTCATATGCCATGTTATGTTTGCAGCGATCACTTATCTTTTTTAGGACTAGAGTTGGGCGTGATCAACTACCTAGTGGGTAACTAATGAAAAATAACATAAAAAGTAGGACTAAACTATAAATGCTGAAACTTCAACCTGACTTGGCACTTTTTAACACTTTGACATCAATGTACTACTTTGAGAGCTCAATATACCACCATTTCGTTGCATAAGCCTTGATGATTTCTTATGATTCCCCCAACTTTCCTTCTCCTCTCATAGAGCTTCCATAGCAGTAAATTGGCATATGTGAGAATATAATTTCACTAATTAATTAACGATTCGTTAATTAAGTAACGATGTTTCACACTTACCCAATGAAAGCACTTGTCCAAGTAAAAATAGGAATAGATTTAATTTTTTTCCTACCATTTTCAAGCTTCGACTTAAATGGGAACGTATTCCTAATAGCTTGTTTGGATGGATGTTACTCATTGTTTCATAACGAATTGTATTATAATGTTTAGTTTCTTTTGTGCCTATAATATTTAAATAAATTATAGTATTATTTGTTGTAGTTTAAGAATATTTTTATTGTTTAGTTTGATTGTAACCTATTGTACAATAACTAATAATTATTTTTCTGATTTTTATTGTGTTAAATTACTAAAATACTCTTCATTACTATAGATATTTAATTTATCAATAATCACTATAAAAATACTTTAAGACAAATTCTTTTTCTTAAAATTTATCATCAATTTTGCCTTGTAAATCCATTAAGCTATCATGTTCATGCAACTCGTAATGACATTAATCAGAAACAAACTGGTCAACCAAAATCATCTCAAACAAATAAAAAGCATTAGCACAAAAAAAGGTCGATGGAGAATGATAAAATAATAAAGGAAAAAGTATAAGCAAACTAACCACAAATTTTAGGTGGAGATGTCTAATAAGGTATATGGTGAAGTTAAATGAAAAAAATAGTACGTATAAAGGATAAAATAGGATTATGAATAATAAATAAGGAAATTTAACGGGAATAAGAGAAATAACGTAATAATCCCACCAGTCCAAACTTGTTGTTATATAAAATGGATCTTTTTCATTGTAATAAATTTAACGATAGAATTTAATATCTTTAAATTACAATAAAATAAATATTAGATTTAAAATAACAAATATTATACAACAAACAAGATGTTAGGCTTAACACCAGTACTATATAAACAACTATACAATGCTCGTTCGCCACGTAAAAACACATTTTTCTTTTCTCATGGAAAATTCAGCTTCAAGTTTACAAGTTGTTAGACATAGAAGGACGGGAGCGGTGTTGTTCTTCAAGAAACTCAATCCCCCATTCAAGAACCATCCTCCACTTGAATTCCCATATCAGAACAAGAATCTGCAACTGAAGAATAATAAAGAATCTACTGTGGCTGATGAAGAAGGTGTGTTGTTTGATTTTGGGAATGAATATGGATTTTGGCAAGTGTTTCAATGCTTGGAGAAAAACATCCCTTCATGTTTTTTGTGATGAAGTCTACAAGTTTTCGTCCCAAGAATGAGTTTCTGCAGCACAATCTTTTATGATTCATGCATGTTCTTGTTAGAACAAAGTAATGTAATTGTTTCTGTTTTGAATTCAATTATTAATGTAAAGGATTTAGTACTTTCTTCATAAAGGCTTCGAAAAAATTGTTGGAAGTCCGATCCATTGTAGAAATTAAAGACTGCAATATTCAAAATACATGGTGCAAATTTAAGAATATGTTTGCTGTATTTAGACAGAAAAAAAAGGAATGGATAGTTTTCTTGAATGATATTATTTTAATAGGACAGCACTCATTCAACTCATCCATTTACACAATCACGTTACTTAAAAGGTATAGTCTCTCCATCTCTAAAGGAATAATACGCTTCGAATTTTGTAATTAAGTCCAACGAATTATTTTTTGATCTTCGATTTCATATATGACTTTTAAATATTTTGAATTGTTTAATTATTGTGATGTATAATATTTATATACTTTCCAAATATATAAGTTTCATTTAAAATAAACTTAAAGATTCTATGTCCAAATTCACGGTCAAATTTAACAAGTTTGACTCACGAAATCTAAAATATATCATTCTTTAGATGGAGGGAGTAATTGTAAAAGTAAAATTTATTTAATAACCTATGATAAATGAAAAGCAACATTAAATTAAATTAAACTAGTGATATAAAAATTTAATTACATTGTCAATCTATATAACTTAACTCTGATGACTTGACAATCTAAATCCGTAAAAATAGCACGGGCTAGCCAGTTTTTGGACTGGTAATTAAAAAATAGCTATTATTTTGCCGCAACACGGAAAGTTCCAGCATAATATACTGGAGACTGGTGCATCTGTGTATGAACTTCCAACATATTATGCTGGAACTCCAACACGCGAAAAGTTCTAACATAATATACTGGAGATTGGAACACTTGTGTATGAACTTCCAGCATATTATTGGGAGTTCCAGTATATTATACTGAAACTCCAGTATATTATGTTGGAAGATTTTTTCGGATTTTGAGCAGTGTTTTTATTCAGATTTATCTTTACATGAAAAGCGACTAAATTTCGATTACTTTTGAAACTGTGGCTATTTTCAATGACCACTTTTAAATTTGGCTATTTTTTAATTTCTTGATCTAACAGGAGAAAAATGATCATGTCTCACGATTTAGCCAAAAAAAAATGGAAAATCTCCACTTCTTTGGAATTGGAATGAAGCAAAACTCATTGAAAACATCCTTTTAAGACTATGTTGTAAGTAGTAAATAATGTTGCCAATTAATAATCTTGATATGCATAGAAAGTCTAGGACAAAACGCTTGCAATTTTAATTTTTTACCTTATTGACGTGCTAGTAAAAACGGAAAGGAAGAGGATTAATATACAAAAAGAGAAGGATTTTAAAAAGGAAAACACTAGAATACAACGATGAAAGCAGACTGATGCATGAGACACTTCTATAATGTAAGAAGGAAAAGGGCCAAAATATCCCTGATCTATTTGTAATAAGACAAATTTACCCTCCATTTCGTTTGGCACAAAATTGCCCTCACTATTAGCGAACTAGCTCAAAAATACTCTTCCCACTAATGGTTGCCCCAGACAAGGGAAAAAGGTCGATTTTGTCCTTGAACTATTCAAAATAGGATAATTTTGCCCCAATTCTTTTCATGTTTTTTTTTTGGCGAAATAATCGCCCCTTCAAGTTGTCCCCAACGATCATCCAGACACCTCAATTGACCCTTTTAAACATTTAAACACTTCAAGTGGCTATTAACTGTATCAAGTAGACACCGGAGTACAGCAGACCAGTTGCGCGAGTTACACTTGCCAATGACGTGTCAAATGAACCAATTAAACAATGACACGTGTAATTTGTAATTAAAAAATTGATATATATTATTAAAAAAGAAATACATTAAAGAAAAGAAAAAAAAACCTTTTTTAAATTTTAATCACACCAGCACCTTTCCCCACGCCAAACCTATTCTTCTTCTTCTTCCTCCCGCCCCATCTCCTCTCACCTCCTATCTCTCTCTCATCCCTGATTTAATAGAGCCAATGCCATTGTAGGACACAAATTATTCCAATAATTAAAAATTTATATATGTAATAGAGCAACAGCCACAAAGAAAAGAAAATGGGTTGATAAATCCAACTTAGATTTCTGTTTTGCCTCACTTCTTCTCTTTTCTCCTCTGTTTTTAGGGATAACCAGCAACTTAAAAATTCAAAGGCTAAAAGAGTGGCACCAAATCAAATTAGTCTTGAAGCTTATCATCCATGGATGAACCTTGATGGTCCATGGCTGAAATCGACGGTTGAAATCGGCGGCTGGACCATTAAAGATTATCCATGGCTGAACTCGATGCGATCTTCTATTTTTATTTTTATAGTTTTTTTTTGCGGCCAGGTTTAAATATAGGTGGTGAATTTATGGTGGAAAGTGGTGGTTTAAGGTGGTGGAGATAATGATGTTGGTGTGAGGAAGGTTTATATGAAATTTGGGTGAAAAACACTGGTTTGATGTTCAAAGGTGTGGACAAAAATGATAATGTGGTGTGGGACCCATGTAGAAAATTTTACTTAATTCTAAAATAAGAGAAAACAAGTCTGATAAAAACCTCACGCGCTAAACGGTAGCTAAAATGCACGTAACTTGCCATGTCATTATGAGGTGTTTACCTGATACGGTTAATAGCCACTTGAAGTGTTTAAATGATAAAAGGGCCAATTGAGGTGTCTGGATGATCGTTGAGGACAACTTGAAGGGGCGGTTTATATATTTCGCCTTTTTTTTTGATTGGGGTTGGGGGGGGGGGTTGCTTTGGATGTGTGAGAAAAGTATAATAACAACAATAACAAAATAAGTATAGTATAAAGACTTAACGTTTTAACAATAAGAAACGATGACATGTAGCTCTTTTCTCTTCTAGTTCCTTATGCATTAGGCATGAGTTATTCTTTTTGAAACATGAAATCATGTACGTCTTCTTAGATAGCTATTTTAAAATTTATTTACTAACTCTATGATTGACATGCTAAAAGAAATCCAATTCCCTATGTTATACTCCATTACTTATTTTAAATTTAAGTTATCCAAAATTTCAATCGCGGATTCGCTGGTATAATAGTTTGAAAGGAAACTGTGAACAAATGTTCAATTTATAAAATTAATGTTGGTAATTAAACTTTGTGGGCGTTTGGACGTAAGAATTTTGAAATTCCAGAAAAAAGTAAAAAAATAATATATATATATATATATATATATATATATATATATATATATATATAAAGTGAAAAAAGTATTTGAAAATTAGAGTTGTGTTTGAACATGAATAAAATGTGGAGCTATTTTTGAATTTTTGTGAGTGATTTGAAGTGAAAATTTCGAAAAATATTTTTTTTAGGTTTTTCAAATTTAAAAAAAAAAATTCGAAATTCAACTTCTAGTAAACTTTGAAATTTTCATGGTCAAATACTATTTTCGAAAAAAAATCAAAATTTTCCGAGAAAAAGTGAATTTTTCTTTATGGCTGAACGGGCCCAAATATTACAAGAAATTGGCAGTGTATAAAAATTGTCTTTTAAATTAGTCAATGTAATCTTATAATCTCAAATATAAGTTTTTGTTCAAATCTTTACTATTAAAGTACTTATCCAAAACCTAAAACGGAGAGCCAAATTATACCATTTCGAATAGAATGGAACAACCGTGAGAGATGGAATGTACTTTTTAGATAGTTGTCTTCATTACAAAAGAAATTCGTTTATCCAAAAACTTCTAGTCCACGAATTCGATCGGCGGACCAACTCAACACCGTTTTACATCCGATCGGGGCGCATCGTCGGCCCCACCCGCTTCCCTCCCAATAATTTCAAGCACTCTTTAACTCTCTTTTCAAAGTCCTTTTCATCTTTCCCTCGCGCTACTTGTTCGCTATCGGTTTCTCACCCGTATTTAGCCTTGGACGGAATTCACCGTCCGATTTGGGTTGCATTCCCAAACAACCCGACTCGTAGACAATGCTTCGTGATGCTACAGCGTCCGTGCACAACGGGGCTCTCACCCTCTCTGGCGCCCCCTTCTAGGGGACTTGAGCCCAGTCGCCCCTGAGGACGTTTCTCCAAACTACAATTCGGACGGAGCTGCCCGATTCTAAGGCTGGATTGTTCCCGGTTCGCTCGCCGTTACTAGGGGAATCCTTGTAAGTTTCTTTTCCTCCGCTTATTGATATGCTTAGACTCAACGAGTAGTCCCGCCTAACCTGGGGCCGCAGTCGAAGCACCTAAGCGCAAGTAGAGTCAGGGAGCCCGAATATGTGACGGGTTGGAGTCGCGACATTACAAGAGTTGAGTTTCAACCACCGTCGTGACGTCCGTCGTAGTGGACTCGCATTTAGGCCAACTGCACGCTCGAGGCGTACGGGAGGCCAGTATCCATCACATGACACCATCGCGCCCATAAGTCTCGGCGCGGTGTGCGAGGGCGACGCGATGTGTGATGCCAAGGCAGACATGCCCTCTGCCTAATGGCTTCAGGCAAACTTGCGTTCAAAGACCCAATGGTTCACGAGATTCTACAATTCACACCAAGTATCACATTTCGCTGCGTTCTTCATCAATGCAAGAGCCGAGATATCTGTTGCTGAGAGTCGTTTATGTTTCGAAAGAAGCACAAGTCCTCCCGCATGCACCACGAACGGAGCGCGAGAGGCAGGCTTTCAATGCAGTAATCCTTGGCACTTTCCGCGCCGGGGATAGGAGGTAGCTGCGCGGAGGGAAGCCGAAGCACCCCAGCCGGCATACAGAAAGAGCTACGAAAAATAATTGTGGCAACCGAAGTTGATCATGACAATCAGGCAATTTTCTTTGAAAAAATTTGCATGACATTGTGCACAAAAAAGTACATTACATCTGATAAGGTTGTTTGCACATATCTCACATCTCCTAATACTGGCATCCTTGCAGCAAGTATTAACAAGAATACTACAAAAGCCCCCTGGAACAAAACTGCACATATCAAAGATTATATTTACTCCCATCTCCTCTCATTGCTGATTAGTCTCCGCAAAACTTCAGTTGCAAAATAGACTGGAACAGTCATAGCCACGATCAGCCTCTTCTTGGTTGGTGTCTATTTTCATAAATGATATTTCGCTCATCCCATAGTTGACAGGAACATGTTGGTTTCTTATTCTTCCATTCAGCTCCGCACGTGTAACAGAACTCATAGCCACATCTGGAAAAACATGAATTAGCATATCCCAACTCACACCAACCCACTGCCCAAATAAAGGAAAGAAAAGGAAAAAGTATACGCTATCCAGATTTTACCTGTTTTATTTAGAAACAATTATTGCCTACCGAAGAAGAAAGAAACAACAGAATTTGCTCAAAGAGACAACGGATGTGAATGTCGTTGGGATTACCTTCTACCACAAATGAAATAAAAAGATCCTTATTCTTTGGACTCGGATAGAGATACCAACGTCCTTTTTCATTTAATGAAATAAAATTGACAGTTGCGAAAAAAATTCAAAGCAGCCTAAGGAAGAAGGATCAACTAATTAACTTTGCATTAACGTCTAAGAGGTATTTCAGTTTCTGTTCCATAGGTGGGATTCAATCCTAAAACCTTCCCCTCTTTTTGAACTCATTCAGCAATTCCTAAGGATTCTCTCTTCATAACGACATGGTTTCCGAAAGAGACTCATATATCTGGATCACCAAAAAAATTATTTCCTACTCAATACTTTTCGCAGTACAATTTTTTTTTTTTTTTTTTTTTTTTTTGCGAACAGCAGGATTCTTTAAGACTAAGAAGTAGAATACAAGTCCTCAAGAATGAGAGACAAGAGGTCATGCATCACATATATTTACACAAAGATCAAAGTCTTTGGAAGTATCAAAACAAAGAGAACTGATCCTGCCATAAATGCACCGTCTTCTAAGGATTAGAAATTCAGGTTCTCTTTGTTACCCTTTTGTTCTTAATGACAAGTTACTTCATAAGTCTTCATTCGATGCTTTTTCATATATTTTTTCATAGGGGTGGTATTAGGACCAGCTTGCAACAGGCAGCCCGATGCACATAGCATCTGCGCCACAGCCCAAGAGGTATGATGTAGCCAGTCTACCCTAATGCAAGCATTAGCGGCTGCTTCCACGGCTTGAACCCGTAACCTATAGGCCACGGAGAAATAACTTTACCGTTGCTACAAGGCTTCACTTAAAGGACAAGCTTGCAACATCTCGACTAATTCATTAGGTACCTGCGACCTCAGACCTCCCACCACCACAGGTATTGGGTAACTCTTTCCATCAAGACCTACACATATGGGAAGAAAATCACCTAGAGGCTTTTGATTGTGATAGGATTTGACCTCTAGTCTCCCATGCTCCATTGCTACACCCTGGGGTGCATGATGCTTTCCACATACTTTTGGACCAAAAGTATTCAAGGCCTTTCTAAACTGCAATAAAACAAAAATTAAACGGATGAGAGATGCTACTCATACCAGTTGAGTGACTGTTAAGTTTTCCGCTCTCTTTTCCTCTTTAGTTGTTCATGTAACTACACATGTCTCCCTTAACAGCATCATGTTCTTTCCTCAATACCATTCCTATACCTTGACCACAATAAATTTAATTCCCTTGTCTTCCCCAAGAAACTGAAAGGCTGAGCTTTGCCTGCCAGCAGATCCAGCAACAATAAAAGTACTCATACCAAATCAATTTATAACCCCTCTTCTACAAAATGGGTTGAGTCGACAACCATCAAAGCCAAAAATGAATTTACAGAACTGGCCTCTGAGCAGGCCGGTCACTAACAACAAAAAAGTACACCAAATAATTGAGGCGGTCCGTCTTTTATATCAGAGGATACAAGAGGGATCTTGGTAAAAGAGCCCGATTTCTTTGTCAAAATAAAACCATTGTACAGCACGATAGGCTAACTTACTATCAACTTAAATCACATTATTATGAGAAATACCAGATATATCCTTCGAAGCATAACAATGTCCACCTGCTTCTTTGCTCTTATATATAATGTACCAATGGATTATTTTCCCGCCAGCATACCGTTAAATGACTCTATTTTTAAGTTTCTGTTACAAGTGATCTCTGTTTAGTGCTCCTCCTTAAAGTAGATGCTCTTTCCCTTCTCCATTGGCAATGGTTACAAAAGTTTCTCACCTAATAAAGATATGAGAAGAACTTGCAAAAACTTAAAAGTTCTGTCATGGAAAGCAGAATGTATCACTTGTAACTCCAGCTATCTAAACAAATGTGATAACTTCACCCAAAATTATGACAAGTCGGGAGGACAGAGTAATGGAGTAAAAACTTCAAATGAAACGATTGATACATTTTTTTCTTCTTTTTTATTTTTTGTAAACCTAAGGTCTAATCTTCCTTTTCCTAGCCAGACTATAAACTTCATGATTTTCACTAGGAATCTCATCAATATCTTCAATAAATGATGTTTTGGTTCGACTAAGTAGCTTAATAGCAAATTCAAGCCACATAATTTTGTGTGGCTTATGACAATCTGCTACTTATTTAAGCTACAAAGCACTATATCCTTTTCTTCAGTTTACAGTTTATCAGCTTAAAGCAGCACCAATCAGTCAAGTAGGCAATTCTTAAAATGTTACCAGGTAATTACCAATTCAGTCAGACAAGCTTAATAGCCAACTTTAGGACACAAAAGTATGTATCTTCTGAGTAGGTTCCTACCAATCGTTAACAGTGTCTAACGCTAAATATCTAAGGAAAAAAAAGAAAAAAGTGTATGCTACATATTACCTTCTGATAATTATTGAAAACACTAGAGAATGAACTATCGTTATGCGTGTAACATCATAAGTTCTTGTGAATCATTCCAAAAAGTCATCATTTCCCTTTTTTTTTTGGTATGTAAAAAGTCATCATTTTCCTATTACCTAATCAGGTAAGTGTAACTCTAACATGTACAGCAAGAATGTAAGAAGTAAGGAGAAACAAAAGACCTGCAATAAATATGATAGCAACCTTCCCCAAGGGACACCATATGGTTGCACTTTATACACTGACGCCAAAGACTCTGTGTAGCAAGAGACTTGAGCTTTGGGTCATCCACGCACTTGTAAGGGTTTAATCTTCTATAGTCAACACAAGTCATGTTTTGATGCCAAGGAACTTTGCAATTGATACAGAAAATGAGGCGACATTTGGTGCACGTTCTGGCCCCAGCTTGGGCAGAAGTTTGGACCTCAGCTTTTGACATCAATGTAGAACACTTAGGATTTGGGCAGTAAATCTTTTCCGTGATAGGAATAGTAGTTTCCTTCACACGTTCACTCATCAAATCATATAGCTTAGGCGTCAAGAACTTTTTGCAGTTATCTAATTTCAACACAGACTTGCATTTATCATGAGGGCATTCAGGCAGAATTCCCTGAAGGAGCTTAGCTTCGACATGTTTATTCATACAAGAAAAGCAATAATAATGTAGGCAACCATTAATTAGAAACATATGGTCCATGTCAGTATCCTGCAAACAAATAGCACAAGTCTCGGTAATGCTCTTTCTCTTTCGAGTATTTTCTAAAGGTCGCTTAACCTGAGAGACTATTGCATCAGTAGCAAGTCTAACTGCAAAGTTGACGGTGTTTGGTGTCACAAGAAATGGTGTACAATCCATAAATTTTCTTAAACAAGATGTTGCCTGTTCAACAAGTGCAGCAATGTTACCCTCCCCTGGATGCAACTTGCCCCTAACCTGCAAAAACATACACCAATTATGCTGATAGACCTAAGACGGGATTTATAAAAGAAAATATTATTATACAGATTTAAAGTAAAAAAAATAGGATTTTGCCGCAACCCTCTGCACGAGGTGCTCTCCAGTTAGTGCGCAATAGATGAGAGTGAGTATAATTTACTCTGTCCTCCAAGATATAACTTGACAGACCCAAGAACATATAATTATTTAAAACAATGCACTTTTGGGTGAACAAAACCATCTTCAATTAAGAAGAGGCATATTCTCCTTACAACAAGAATTTCAAGGAAGAAGAAATCAATGTGGGTCGTCAGTGGTGTGTGTTAATGCGTGTGTATAAAAATTTATTCCAGTTAAGGGGACTCACATATTGCAATGTCATTTGACTATCCAAAAAAACATTAACCCTTTTCAAACCCAGCATTACAGCAACATCAAGCCCTTCAATCAGCGCTTTCAGCTCCACAATTTCATCATTCAACACTTCAATAGTGCTTTCACCCAAACCCTTACTCAGTTCAAACACCAAAATACCACTGGGATCACACACCGCAACTCCAATCCCAGCGACTTGTTGTTGTTTCCCCACAACAACACTCTCTTCTTCAACATCTTCTCCCATTAAACCCTTCACATAAACCCTAAAACACTCCCCACTCCCATTTTGGGCCCCACCTTTCGATGAACCCTCACCGTACGGCCGATGCAAATGATCTCCCGTCTCTTTCCACTGGCCCTCCGGCACGTTTTGTATCTCACGCGCGAAGGCCTGATCGTGGATTCGACGGTTGAGATCGTCTTGGATTTTCTTCATCTCCGCTTCCGCTTTTTTACAATCGAGAACTTGCTGCTCGTAGTTTGACAATTCCTCGGCGAAGAGATCGGCGACTGTGTTCGTCGGGATGGCGTCATCGTCGTAAAAAGTGAGCTTTGAAGTTGAAGGGGCATTTTCTTTTGGGAGAGAGTTGTACATGGCTTCTTCCATTTGGAGTTGAAAGGCGAAGAGGAGATCGTTCTCGGCGGCTTCCGCGGCGGCGATTTCGCGGCGTTGTTCGTCGAGTAAGGCGTGAAGATCGTCGTTAACTTCCATTTTTTTCCGGCGCAGAACGGAAGAGATTTTACCAAAGTAATAAAAGGGTTACGGGCTCTTTCTCTTCACCTCTGCTTCGTTTTTCGTCTCTGTTTCGAATCGTCTCTGTTTTGAAGACACTAAAGAAGAATAGGAAAAGAGTACGAAAGAAGTCTCGGAGTGTTATGAATGAAAATAATCTCATGACAGGCACGTTGGAAAAATCATCAAATTACTCGTGGGACCCTGGGATAAGGGCACGGGAGGAAAGAATTGGGCAAATGGAAAATGGCAGAATGGCCTAAATGACATCTATACTTGTGCCATTTTGTCATGCCGGTCCCCAAACTCAACAATTTGCCAACCAAACCCTTATACTCCTTCAAACCGTGAATAATAAATGCTTATGACAGGAAGCTGTCAGTGCGTGTAACACAATCTCTTCCACGTTGGCTGCCACGTCAAAAATAACAATGTGTAGATGCCATGTCACTTGGTAGATTAAAAATAATTAAAATCAAAAAATAAAATTCAAACATTAATCCCCTAATCGTCTTCCTCAAATGATGCGACTGCTGTGAAAAGTAACACAGCAACACTTCATTCTGCTGCCAGAAATGGGCATGTGTCGAAGCAAAACTGATATTTATCATATCTGTTCTGGTTCAGATCAAGTGATTCCAAGCAGCGGAGATTGTTCTCCACTACAAATACCATCGACCCACCAAGTTTCAGACAATTTCAATGCCGGAATAGTCTCCTCCAACCAACTGAATATGGCCGGCGAATACCAGTTGGTCGAGCATGGAGCTACAGGTGTCCAAATTGAACAAGACCAATACCAATTGACTCCAACTGAGCAAGTGATTGATGCCAAACGATCGAACAACAACTACAATGAATCAATCGTCACAACAATTCAAAAAATAAAATCTGCAGAATTACAGACACCGGGTGTTCGATGAAATGCTAAAGTCAGGGGATGGGAGAAAGAATTGGAGAGAAAATGTTGAAGAGAGAGGAAAAAAAGAATTGGACAGAAAATGTTGGAGAGAGAGAAAAGCGTAGAAGAAAAGCTCACTTTTTTTCAACAATGGAGGATGAACAATCGGGAAGAAGATGACAGCCAAAAAATGGCTCTTGGTGCCTTTTTAATAGGCCTCACGCTCCTTAAACGAGTGTAGCACACGCACTTCAGTAAAAAATGCCACATAGGATGAGCGGGGTTTAAAATGCTCAGTTTTTAAGGGTAGGGGAGTTTGGTTGGCAAATTGTTAAGTTTGGGGACCGGCATGACAAGGTGGTACAAGTGTAGGTACCATTTAGGCCATTCTGCCATGGAAAATTAATAAATAGTAGTAGGCTAGGTGACATTACGTATGCTATGTTATTGATAGAGTTGTCTTCTATTTTTCGTCCCCTATTGTGTATCCTCTTCATTCTCATTTCCTTCTTCTAAATTACTATTCTTCTATCCTTGTGTAACTTCCGTCCTGCATCTTGGTTATTAATTGAACGATCAATCTTCTTATGTTATTGTGAGTGTTTATATTTGGAGGTTGTTACATTGGTGCTTTCATCGATTTGAACTCCAATGGTAGTGATGGTTTTAGATAAATTCAGCAGCGGCGACCCAGAGGGTTGGGTTTCTCAGGCCGACCAGTACTTCACCTTCTTGGGTTTCTCCGAAGAATATTGGTTACCTCTACCTTATTTCTACCTTGAAGGCCATGCCCTCATTTGGTTCGATTGGCTACATCGCAACAAACAATTCTACGATTGGAACCATTTCAAGGAGAAATTACTTATCCGATTTCGACAACGGAGCTTCGCAAGTTCGGTAGAGAGTGTGGCATGTTTTGACTCCAGTAGCATCGGACCTATATCTATACCAGAAGTCCTTCCTGCTGCAATGGAATCTAATTTAGATAATGCACAATCAGAGGAGGTCGCTGAATTGAAGATTGCTTCTGATTTGGATGATGGCAACTTAAGTCCTATTGACAATTCCAAGGTCCCTCCTGAGATGTTAGAATCCCTGATTTGTAATATTTCAAACCCCACTGATTTTACTTCCTCCATAGTTTCGACGGGTGGCAATGGTGATGTGGATACACCACTGGAAATTAATATTGGTGAGGAGGAATATTCGTGGAACTACGCCTGCAAGGTGCTTGCTGACATTACCGAAAGGGAAATCGACATGGACATTGAAGATTCAGTGAAGATCACCACCCAGGTGTTTGAGAAAATGGGACATAACTGTTGCACCAAGGTACTCTCTGATGAATATGATTCGGATGATGTAAACTCAAAGGAAGACAATGTGCTTGCTGACAATTCCCATAACGATATATGCGAGTTGTCTAGTCAAATTGTCCATATGACTTCATTTCTGATTTCTTTTGTTGCAAGTGAGTATAAGGTTACAAATAGGATCGTGCTAATTACTGGAATGAATTGCCCGTGGGCAGACACCTTGGCGTTTTCTCGTCAAGTACTTTCACCGGTACCACACTCTGGTAGTTGGGCTACGGATGCAAGAGATATTGGACTATCAAATTCTAGTTATGTGGCCAGGTGGATTGACACAGGGCAGGAATTTATCCTTGCTTTAGGGTGTGCACCTCTTATGCATATTACTTTAAGTTCTCCACAACATGTACATACACCATTTGAAATAATTAGAAAAAGATGGAGTTATTCATTTGTAAAGTTGTATGATTGGGAGCTGTTAGGTGAAGCTAAATTTGATGTTGAGTCATTTGATGCCGTGTATCTTGATGGAATTCTCAAATGAACCATTGACATGAACTATGTCTCTCCAACTGACGCGATAACCAATTATTTGGAACTTTTCGTCAACATTTGCAGTTCGTTTGATAATGGGAAGCTTATGTTATATATAGTCTATATGGGAATCAAGGATAGTGACTTTGCTGCCAATGCTATTACGCTGCTAAAATTTCATGCAACACAAGATTACAACACCAAAATTTATGATGATGAAATTGATGGGACGCAACATCGTCTACGCTTAGGCGGTCACGGTAAACCCAATCTACAGGAAGTTCTTAAAAATATATGGTGGTTCTACCATGATTACAACACTTATTTAGACAAGTGGTGTGACACCGGGCACAGACTTATAACTAGTAAGTTTTCTCCAATTTCATTTTTGACTAATTTGATTGATATATATATATATATATATCATTTAGTTGGCTGGACAACTGGAGAGGGATGTTCGACGACATGATTTACAACAAATTGCTCACTGAATTGGCATCTTCCATACCACCAACTATTGTCTATAGTGAGATGATTGCTCTGGCTGCTTCGTTTTCCCAAGGCACTAGCATGGCGCTGGCAGTACCTCCTGCTAATGTGGATGCATCATTTCAAGCGTATATTGATGACATCCTTGATATGAATCTCGGACACTGGCTTGTCTTCATTTCACCCTTGAGCTCTTATGTTACTACAACTGGTTGGCAAGCAGTTTTTTACGTGCAGCACACAATCTCCAACAGTGATGGACATCAAAGTGATACTACTGCAGTAGACCTTGGAAACTTGACACTCTCATATGCTACTGGAAGTAGAGGTGCTAGAATGAACATCAAATACATTTTTAGCCAACTTTTGGGTAGGGGCTCAATACACGTGGAAGAGAAAATACTAAGAGGCGTTGCTGCATTTTTTGTTCGTTACCATCGTGGACAAGGAATAATTCAGCAAACTATTGAGCACGTTTGTTACCACTGGCCCAATGCGAGGCTCGAAAGCGAAGTCTTTCTCATTAGTGTGGATTTTGAGAAAATAATGCATGATGGGACGAACATGACTCTGTGTGCAGATTGTGAGCCTAAAATAGATAGTGAGCTTGAAGAACTAAAATTCTATCTATGTACATCTCTTCATGACTGGTTTGCAAGAGGAGGAAATGACCTTCCTGACACCATCGCTATGCAGTTGGTGCAAGCTCTTGCGGGGTTTGTGACGATCATTAAACATTTGGATGTTCAGCTGGTAAATATGAGTTCGGAGGGACTCATTAAATTGATTCTAGGAACCAAACAATCAAGCAAGCATGACCTTTTGCAATTTATTGCTAATTGGCATGCCGAGAGCACTTCAACAGTTGACTTAGAGAGCATCATATCTTGGCTTTTCTCGTGGACCATTGAGTCGATATGGTGGCAGAACTTGATTAAAAATATGCAAGTTCCCACAGATGACCCAACTGCTAGCAAATCTATTGAGTTGTTCTTAGGATCACCTGTTGTCCAGCAACAAAGAAAGTTTTCCATTATCCTAATAGATCATGCTTACCAGGAGACTTTGAAGAGATTATGGTCTGTCTTGGCTGGACATGTGGTAGAACAATGTGTTGTCACCCTAAATGTGCCTGAAGTCGATGCTATTTTTCAAGAATTAGCTTGTGGGATCCTAACTACTGCTCCATTTGATCCAATTGTTAACACAAATGTGTTACCTATTCCGATATTGAGCTTTACAATATTAGTCTCGTGGGGTCTGTTTGCTAGCGGTTTTGTCGACCCATATCTTGTTGATGCAACTCCTGAGCCTCATTCAAGTCTTGACATAATCACCGCTATTCTATCAATGTTGCTCTACTCGAACCTTGAGGACAATGTTCTTATTGAGGACGAGGGTATTGTTATGAATGAAAATAATCTCATGACAGGCACGTTGGAAAAATCAGCAAATTACGTATAGGACCCTGGGATAAGGGCACGGGAGGAAAGAATTGGGCAAATGGAAAATTAATAAATAGTAGTAGGCTAGGTGACATTAGGTATGCTATGTTATTGACAGAGTTGTATTCTATTTCCCATCCCCTATTGTGTATCCTCTGCATTCTCATCCCCTTCTTCTAGGTTACGATTCTTCTATCCTTCTGTAACTTCCTTCCTGTATCTTGGTTATTAATTGAACGATCAGTCTTCTTATGTTATTGCGAGTGTTTGTATTTGGAGGTTGTTACACGGAGTTTCTCTTGTCTTTTTTTTTTGAATGTTAAGGAAGCATATATTAATAAGTAATACGGAAAAGGGTTCAAAATACCCCTAAACTATTGAAAAAGGTTTAAAAATACCCTTCATTCATCTATTGGGCTAAAAATACCTGTTCATCCGCCTTTTTGGTTCACTTATGCCCTTTGACCGTTAGGTCAATG